GGGGTCATCGGAGGATCTTATAGCAGCGTTTCCATACAGGTGAGCCACTCCATCCATAAAAATATAGTATAGCATGTCTGTGATCATTCACCTGTTTCAGGAAATCTATGGGTCTCCTGATCGGGAGATCAGGATTGGTCAGGTTGGGTTGTGCAGTCCTAGTTTAAGGCAAAGGAATTGGAGGGGATGACGGTCTGGCTAAAATGATCCATGCAGCCTTCACAATCTTATGTCCTCTACATGTATTGTGATAAAACTCCCCGTCACCTTCAGTTACACAATGCTTAGAATGCAGTATTTGCAGGCTGACTTTGCCCACAGTCTGGAGTTCAATCCTGACCAGCTCAGAGTTGACTCAGCTTTCCATCCTTCCAAGGTCGGTAAAATGAGGACCCAGATTGTTGGGGGCAAGAGGTTGACTCTGTAAAACTGCTTAGAGAGGGCTGTAAAGCACTATGGAATAGTATGTATAGTATGGTATGTATAGTATAGTATAGTATGGAATAGTACTCTGTGACAAAATGGTTGTGGTCAGATTTCATAATGCACCATAAGCAGCCAAAGGCAAGACAAGGCAAGTAAGACCAATAGTTTTGCTCATTTCCAGAAAAATCATAATTTAGAAGGAGGGGATGGTTGGAAGGAAAGAAACCACATGTTTTTCTAGGTGGACTTTGCTTTCTGAAACATGCCGGGCAACTTGAAAACTCAGCTATCATATGAATAGGCAGAATTATCTCTTCTTTATTTCAGTTGGACGCGGTTCTTCTGAATGATCTCTTTGGCGTCTCCACAATAGAATTTGTTGGATATCAACAGAATTAGCCTGGAAGTGGGAACATCCCCACCTCTGGTTACATGTCTCTTGGTGCACATAGAAAAGATTAGGTCCTTGATTATGGTTGTGGGTGTCAACTTGCCTTTTTTCTTTTTGCCACCAAACAGCCCTGATTTCCATCGTCCCCAGCCAACATGGTTAATGAGCACGTATCTCAAACAAGGTAGAGTCCTCGTGGCATATGATTCTGCTAGGAACTACATTTGAAGTTTACAAATTCTGAGATTAAACCTGGGTCTATCATGAAAAATAAATAGAACATAGAATACTAAACATTTCTGTCCATTTAACTCTAGAATAGTGAAACTGGCTTAAATGATCATATGATTGATATTTCAAATCTGAGACACAGAATAACCCTAACATACCCGGCTGACAAAATGATAACCACTAAATGTCAACAATGAGACTTTTTGCATTCAAGATTGTAGGTCTAGTTTGAGCAACAGCCAGAAAATCTCGAATAATTTGCCCTTCCAGTTCTTATTTTGCTTGTCTTAAATTTTCAGATTCCTCTTCACAATTAAAAATTAGACGCATAACCCAGTTCAGGGCTCTGCATTTAAATAGTTTAGCTTAAAATGGGCTTCTCTCCTGAGGTCAAGAGAAGAAAACAACTGATTGCAGGATCAAAGACATATTCAAAAAGGATTTGTTTTTCCTGAAAAGAAATTGCTGCTTTTTGCAAGTTTGTTGAAACATTTGAAACAAGTACCGAAATCTTAAGAACTGAGTTGTACTTGACCTGAGCTGCAGAAATCCAGATAAGCTCTAGATGGCAGCAGAGACGTGGAGCAAATACCAGCTCTTTGCTGCTGTCTAGTGGTCATCTCAATTTATGCAGCCCAAATCTGGTAGCTACTGTACACATACAGTCCTTAACTGACAACCAGGACTTTCTATTGCTAAGCAAGACGGTTGTTAAGTGAGCATGGACAATTTTACGATTATATAAATTACATACTCATTAAACAAATCTGGCTTCCCCTATTAACTTTGCTTGTTAAAATGGGATGCTGCAACAGTCATAAATACATGCTAGTTGCAAACATCCATTGTACTTTTAATATACTCCAATGCTACAGAATAAGAAAAAAAAATCCTTAATTTTTTTAATCTCTCCATCCTCAAGGATTCTAGGAGGTAGGGCGTGTGTGATCCAGAAGCATTCTTTGGGCTCTCCTGGCTTAGATCAGTTTCCAATAAGTCAAATTATATTGCACATGAATTTATAAAGGCATCCAATGAATTCCCATGAGCCAAGAACTAATTAAAACATCTAGCTGGACACCCGTTATGAACTAATTAATATATGATATCGGATATACAGTATATTATATTCTATTCCATTGAACTCTGAATTCATATACTGTAGTGCCAGGCTTCAAAAACCAAGAAAGACACCATTGATTCTTCTAAGCAGGGTTTTTTTTTTCTGTGCCTCCTCTATAGGCAGAAATCTTGCCAAACTAAAACAGACTATTTGCATCACAGAATAACACAGTTGGAAGGGACCCTGGAGGTCTTCTAGTCCAACCTCCTGCTTAGGCAGGAAACCCTATACCATTTCAGACAGATGGTTGTCCAATCTCTTCTTAAAATCATCCAATGATGGAGCACCTGCAATTTCTAGAGACAAGTCATTCCACTGATTAATTGTTCTCACTGTCAGGAAATTTCTCCTTAGTTCTAGGTTGCTTCTCTCCTAGGCTGCATCATTAAAGATATACTCTGGGAACTATTAGGGAGGAGCTGTCTTCATCCTCCTTCTCTCACACAAACTTACTACTGTAGACATGTCAAACACAAGGCCCACAGGCCGGATGTGGCCCGCGAAGTTTCATGTGGCCCGTGAAGCCATCCTGGAAACAGTGAGGGAACGGCCCCCTCTGCCTTGGCCCTGGCCCAGGCCAGCGGGGAGCCAATGTACAATTTTGTGGTGGCCATCTATGCTGAAACACATTCAGTCTTAGCTCCATAAGCCCCACCCCCCTGCATGGCCTGAGAGGAACAGTGAGGCTCCTCCAGTGGACCATGCCTTGGCACTTGCCCCGGTCCCACCCCCTTCTGCCAGAGACCCTCAGATCTGTCCCACTCCTGCCCAGGCCCCCACAGGCACCCTTGACGCGAATGATGTAGAGCTGGCCACACCCATTCAGTAGGCCACACCCACTCCATCCACACCCACCCAGTAGGCCGCATCCACCCTGGCCACACCCACCCGGCCCCCTGAGGGCAACTGCAATGCTGATGCAGCCCTCAATGAAATTGTGTTCGACACCCCTGCACTACAGTATCTGTGCTGTTTCCTGTTCCTCTGGACAGTGGCCCCTGCCTCCTGGGAATCCGATCACATTCTATCGGACACAGGGCTTTGTTTATTTTAAAGCAATCCCACATTGCAATCTTGAATTTCTGTCAACAGGTTCAGGTGCCCTAAAGCAAGGAGCATATTCTAAGATAACACATCGGGGAAGAGACTGAGTTCTTCCAACAGCATCATTTGCAAATAATTTGAATAAATGATTCCTAATGCACTCTAAATCGAGCAGACTATTCCTCCATCTTGCTTTCACTGTAAGGCAGACATGTCAAACACAAGGCCCGGGGGCCAGATGTGGCCCGCGAAGTGGTTTCATGTGGCCCATGAAGCCATCCTGGAAACAGTGAGGGAACGGCCCCTGCTGCCTTGGCCCTGGTCCTGGCCCCCCGGGAGCCAATGTACAATTTTGTGGTGGCCATCTATGCTGAAACGCAGTCAGTCTTAGCTCCACAAGGCCGTCTGGAAACAGCAAGGGACCAGCCCCTGCCGCATTGGTCCCGCCCCTTGGGTGCATGCTGGGGAGGTGTCACCCTTTGTGAGGAATGAAGAAATGCACCATTGCCTGGAAGTGGCCAGCAAATGGCCCTCACCTACTTCACATATCCGGCTTGATGGGCTCCAGGGGAGGGGTTTCAGCAGGCTCTTCCAGTGGACCATGCCTTGGCGCTTGCCCTGATCCCACTCCCTTCTGCCAGAGACCCTCAGATCTGTCCCACTCCTGCCCAGGCCCCCAGAGGCACCCTTGACGCGAACGATGTAGAGCTGGCCATGCCCACCCAGTAGGCCACACCCACTCCATCCACACCCACCCAATAGGCCGCACCCACCCTGGCCACACCCACCCAGCCCCCCGAGGACAACCGCAATGCTGATGCGGCCCTCAATGAAATTGAGTTTGACACCCCTGCTGTAAGGGATCTCAAAGAGTTTGGTAAAGAGACCCTTCAGCCGATCAGACGTCTACCCTAGAGGCTTTGCTTGGAGAGCCCTAGCCAATCAATGAGAGCTCGCCGGTTCTCCATTAATAAACGCATTGTGTCAGGTCCTCTCCGCTTTTCTTGATCTCATGTGGTCATGTGGGTCATGTGACCAGCTAGTCATGCCGTATGACATGCTGTGTGACTGGCTGGTGATGTCAAGTGAAGGTCACCAAGGGGAGAGTGCCATCATTGGTTGATACGGCTCCAAATCAACATGTTGGTTGATGGATCCGTTGGTAGAATACCAGACTTTGATGAATTCATGTATGTAGCATATGGTGGCATGGCCAATGATTTTTGTTCCGGACCCACTAACCACATGGCCACATGATAGATATCAATAAAAGTGGAGGAGAACTGAAACAAAGACACTTCAACCGAAGTCCCGCCGAGGAGGTCACCTAGCCTGATGATGAAACATTCGGAAGCTAAACAAGCCTGGAGAATAAACCGCCACCAAACATTTCCAGTCTTGCCTGCAGTAGCACAGTTAGGGAAAAAAATAACAACATCTCAGTATCATCTACAAGAAAGTATGAAACTTCTAAATGTTGGCTCAGAATAATGCCTCCTTCAGGTCAGTAGTTTCAAAATCTGAATGTTCTCCAAGATCTCAAGATCTTTCCAAGCGTGATTAAAATTATTTAACAGAAGTTCCTGCAGATCGAACCTAGGGCCTTCCAAAATTTAAATATTAAAGAGCTGACCTCCAAAACTTTGATTTCTGCTATTAGCAGAAAGAACATTTGAAGGAAATAAGGCTCAGATGGAGACTTACCCAAAGCAATTCTCCTACTTAAGTAGTTATTCTTTTTTGGCTCATCGGCCATCTGTCAACACATACTTCAGTCAAAGAGCCAGAAGACATCACTGGAAGATAACAACTCATCAACTGGAAGTGCCTGCGAGTCGATACAACCGGTACAAGGATTACAGGCATCTCATCTGATTGCTCTGATTGTTGGTGACGTCACAAAGTTCTTTAAGCTTTTATCTTCCTGGAGGGTTTTAATAGCCGATCATGAATATTCAGATCATTTTTGCAGTGCGATTTTCAAGATGGATGTGGCAGGAGGTAACTTTAAACAGCCATCACTTCCATTTTTTGAGGATATTTTTGTCTCAACTCTTTCCCTGCAGGCACAAATGTGAGAGAATCTGTTACACAGGGATAAAATCTTATTATATCCTAGTGATGCAATTAAAAGATTTAAATCTCACATTTGTAGAAATGCAGATATACTCATTTAAATATTCGACATCTGAGTCCAAACTGATTATACTGTAATAGTTCATTGAACAATCACTGATTCAATATAATCAATACTGTGCATTCTAGGAAAGGAATATCTAATTCTCAAAGTTCAACGGTTAGATTTGTACAAAATGGTAAGCTAATTTATGGTTTCTGAATACCATACAGGTACGTTTAATCCTATTCGGTCTCCCCTTTGCTGCTGCTGAGAAGAAAACTACAATAAACAGAAATGTTATAAGAAGAAAGAACGTGGTTATTGAATTATGTTTGATGATAAAACCAAGACTTCTGCTTTGTTGCTTTACTAAAACCTGTATTTGATTTCTGATTCTTACCCATTCATTAATTCTTCTCAAATGGGTATGTCATCTTATCTTTCTTCAACTGTAGTTCTGAAAATTTGTAGGTAGGTAGGTAGGTAGGTAGGTAGGTAGGTAGGTAGGTAGGTAGGTAGAAAGAAAGAAAGAAAGAAAGAAAGAAAGAAAGAAAGAAAGAAAGAAAGAAAGAAAGAAAGAAAGAAAGAAAGAAAGGAGCGAGGGAAGGAGGAAGGAAGGAAGGAAGGAAGGAAGGAAGGAAGGAAGGAAGGAAGGAAGGAAGGAAGGAAGGAAGGAATCCAAGGATTCTATCATATGTAAGGCTAAAGAGAGAGAGAGATTTTTTTTTAACAAAGCATCAGGAAGGAAAACATTGGATAAGCCCAAACAATAAAGGAGGAATGCGAAAATGCATCAGACACCTCTCTAATTCATGTAATAAATCATCTAATTCACGTAATAAATCATAATCAGAGTTGCAATCTTCTGTTACCATAGCCAATCTTAATAAAAGTAGTTTTAGTCTTAATTAGAGTAAAAAAAATTTTTTTTGATCAGATCTACATTTGGGGGCTGGCATCCTATGAGATGCCCCAGAGTCATCCAGAAGAGTTCAGATCATTCACAGAACTCTGGATCCACTCCTGGAATGAGGGTGGACCTTCTCTAGGCATCCTAATACTGTTTTCTCTCTCTCTCTCTCTCTCTTTCCAGGTTGCAAACTTGCTCCGGCTCTTCCAGATTCCTCAGATCAGCTACGCCTCCACCAGTGCCAAGCTCAGTGATAAGACCCGGTACGACTACTTTGCAAGGACGGTGCCTCCAGACTTCTATCAAGCCAAGGCCATGGCTGAGATTCTGCGCTTCTTTAACTGGACGTACGTGTCCACGGTTGCCTCGGAAGGAGACTATGGAGAAACAGGGATCGAAGCCTTTGAACAAGAAGCCCGGCTAAGGAACATCTGCATCGCCACCTCTGAGAAGGTCGGCCGATCCAACATTCGAAAGTCCTACGACAGCGTCATTAGAGAACTCCTCCAGAAGCCCAACGCAAAAGTGGTCGTCTTGTTCATGCGCAGCGATGACTCTCGGGAACTCATCGCTGCAGCCAACCGGTTCAATGTCTCCTTTACCTGGGTGGCCAGTGACGGCTGGGGAGCCCAGGAGAGTGTGGTCAAGGGCAACGAACACGTTGCCAATGGGGCCATCACTTTAGAGCTTGCTTCCCACCCAATCAAAGAGTTTGATAGATACTTCCAGAGTCTCACCCCCTATACTAACCATCGCGATCCCTGGTTTAAGGATTTCTGGGAGCAGAAATTCCAGTGCAGCCTTCAGAACAGGAAAACCCACAAAAAAGCTTGTGACAAGCATCTGTCTATTAACAGTTCCAATTACGAACAAGAATCCAAGATCATGTTCGTGGTAAACGCGGTGTATGTCATGGCCCACGCCTTGCATAAAATGCAGCGGACAATGTGTCCAAACACTACCAAGCTCTGCGACAGCATGAGGCATTTGGATGGCAAGAAGCTCTACAAAGACTATTTGCTCAAAGTCAACTTTACAGGTAAACAATCAGCCTCTTCTGATGCTTTCCCTAGAAAATGGTTATAGTTTGGGGAGTCTAGAGAAGAAAAGATGGAGAAGAAGGGCAGTGAAGTAGCCATGAGTTCCAGGTGTGGCGTGGTGTGAAAATCCAATGGAAGGTATGTGCAGGAGTCAGTAGGAAGCATTTCTTTTGAAGAACGTGCTCTTCCAAGTCAATGTAGTTGAGTCAGATCTGGCTCTTTTTCTTTCATCTGCATTTGTAACATACACATGTGTGTTGATATCTGTGTTTCTTCTCTTCAACATGTCCCCTTCTCAGAAGCTGCCTGGACAGGTCCCTGCAGTTTTCTTGGCAGTGTTTTTAGGAGTGGTTTGCGATTGTTTACTTCCCAGGGTTGAGAGAAAGTGACCGGCCCAAGGTCACCCAACTGGTTTCGTGCCTAAGCTGGGACTACAACTCACTGTCTCCCAGTTTCTAGTCTAATGCCTTCACCATCACACCAACCTGGCTCTCTCCATTAACTTCCAAGTTAATATAGTTGATTCAGATATTGTCTCTGTTTTCATCATAGGTGTGCATGCACACACACAGTCAATTCACTTCAGTTGTGTTTTCAGCAATCTTCAGAGATCAGTTCAGGAATTTTTCCAGAAATCTTATTCAAGAGTTATTTGTGAGTTGAGTTTCTATAGCAGTAAACAGGATTAAAAACAGTCATTCAACCTTAGTTTGTCTGGCTTCCAAAGTGTTGCTTAACTGAAATGCTGTAAGGAATATTCAAGCAAATCCTTCAGATTCTCAACAGTTCTGATCACTGTTCTTATCCAAATGATTAGCTAATATTTGCTTTTGTGCAGTTGCTGCTCCCTTGTTTTGATCCTGCCACCCCGTGTTATTTCATGGGATGGCAGGATGTTCTTTCAAATGTTCTTTCAAATGTTCTTTCAAATATTTAGACTCCACCTATTCTTGTGGTTTAGTTCAAGGTGTCTTTCACTGCACAACACAAACATTTGTCTGGAAATAGCATTTTAAAATTAAATAAGCCAAAATAATGGATCAATAAATAATAACAACTGAAACAACTGAAGCCCAATTTAAAAGAGAAGTAAACATTATATCTATCTATCTATCTATCTATCTATCTATCTATCTATCTATCTATCTATCTATCTATCTATCTATCTATCTATCTATCTATCTATCATTTACTTACTTAACCTAGCTACATATCTACCTATCTAACTTCTGGAAACAAAAAAAGAATGATTTTTGTAGCAAATAACATAAAAACACAACTTAAGTTTATGATAACTCCTGTTCTATATCTCTCTCTAGGTACATCATACTTGCATTTTAATTGCATTTTAATTTTTACTATAGTACACACAATGCCAAATTATTTCTTTCGTTGCCTGTTGCCAAATTGAAGGTGGTGGGGGGGCGTCACTGCAAATGAATGTACAAATTATTCAACAGGTCTCAACGTTTGCACAAAAGAGAGAAACAGATGATGGATTAACTAGCTTTGGCAAAGTATTGTGGAAATCATCTGATTGGATGTGGCCAGGTAATCAATGATTCACGGTGAAGGGCAGTTTGCGATGATGAAAACATTAATTTTAATGTTGACAACTTTCGACATTATCGGCAAACAAGATGATGAATTGCTTGGAGGTACTCATAACAATAGCCTAATTTTGCAGAATGTTATACATATGCAAGTTCCCTTGATTTTCACACAATGTGTATGAGTCACTGAGCACAGCACCCTTCTAAAGGCCACATTCCATCTCTGTTCTATAGCACAAAATGTTTGCTACAGGTATCAGGAGATTTACTAGATGTTTCACCAGCAGAATACTCATAACTCGCCTAAATATGAGCCAGCAGTGTGCTGCAGCTGCCAAAAAGGCCAACACAGTGCTGGGCTGCATTAACAGAGGGATAGAATCAAGATCACATGAAGTGTTAATACCACTTTACAATGCCTTAGTAAGGCCACACTTGGAATACTGCATCCAGTTTTGGTCACCGCGATGTAAAAAAGATGTTAAGACTCTAGAAAGAGTACAGAGAAGAGCAACAAATATGATTAGGGGACTGGAGGCTAAAGCATATAAGGAACGGCTGCTGGAATTGGGTATGTCTAGTTTAACAAAGAGAAGGACGAGGGGGGACATGATAGCAGGGTTCCAATATCTCAGGGGCTGCCACAAAGAAGAGGGAGTCAAGCTATTTTCCAAGGCGCCTGAAGGCAGGACAAGAAGCAACAGATGGAAACTAATCAAGGAGAGAAGCAGCCTAGAACTAAGGAGAAACTTCCTGACAGTTAGAACAATTAACCAGTGGAACAACCTGCCTCCAGAAGTGGTGAATGCTCCAACACTGGAAGTTTTTAAGAAGAGACTGGACAGCCATTTGTCCAAAATGGTGTAGGGTTTCCTGCCTGAGCAGGGGGTTGGACTAGATGACCTCCAAGGTCCCTTCCAACTTTACTATTATTATTATTATTATTATTATTATTATTATTATTATTATTATTATTATTATTATTATTATTATTATTATTGTTATTGTTATTGTTATTGTTATTGTTATTGTTATTGTTATTGTTATTGTTATTGTTATTGTTATTATTATGGATCATCGCACAGTCAGCCAGATGTTGTTGTTGTTGTTGTTGTTGTTGTTATTATTATTATTATTATTATCTAGTTGAAAGCTATATACATTGCAGGAAGCCTGTCCAAATAGTAGCAATGACTGTATTTTGGAAATATCTTGGGCAAGAATTCCTCAAAGCGCGATCAAAAAAAAAAAGTCATTATGGCAACCATGATGGTACAATCAAAATCCTGCCTTTTTTATGTGCAAAATATATTAAAAATTGGTAATTTGCACGATCACAGCCCCATCTTGACCTTTCTATCATATCTTGTGGACAATTATGGTCTATAGCACAGGGCAAGATTGTAAGCAACTATTGTCTATATCTCAAATGAGAGTTCTTTTCCTTCAGGCAAATAAGGCATAAAGTTATAAAAATGCTCTTCTTTTAGCCACATGGGGAAGCACAGAAAAAGCAGATTCAGCTAATAGGTACGTAATTTGGTTTTATGCATACTTATTCAGGGCATGGATGCTCATCCAGGGTCACTCCTAATAAGTCTAGATATTTGCCTTCCTCAAGTGAGGTTTCTAGAAACATCCAACAGCTACTTTCATCATCCTCATCCATCACTAAATGGCTGGTGCTTGGGGATTATGGGAATTGTTGCCAGAATTGTATTGAGGTGCAGAAAAAGAAGAACATGAGGTGGTGGTTAGAAGGACAGACTAAGATTAAAGAGTTGCAGGTTTAATTCCTCAGCGGTCCTCATTTTTTATATGATGATTTTTAACCTAGATGAGCAGGAAAAATCCAGTCACATACAGCATCTTGAGGAAGGATCGACATTAAGTGAAGAAGAAATCTAAAAGCAGAAAGAAAATGAGCCTGGCAGCCAGCTAGCTTGCTCAATCAATATCTTTTTTTGGAATCCGGACGCCATCTCTGTGTCAAATTGTACCTTTGTGCTCAGAATATCTTCCAAATTGTGGGTGGGCCAACTGCAGAAATATTAAGGTTCTACATTTAGGCAAGAAAAACCAAACGTACAGGTATAGTATAGGGGGTACCTTGGTCAATAGTAGTAACTGTGAGAAGGATCTCGGAGTCCTAGTGGACAATCATTTAAATATGAGCCAGCAGTGTGCTGCAGCTGCCAAAAAAGCCAACACAGTGCTAGGCTGCATTAACAGAAGGATAGAATCAAGATCACGTGAAGTATTAATACCACTTTACAATGCCTTGGTAAGGCCACACTTGGAATACTGCATCCAGTTTTGGTCACCACGATGTAAAAAAGATGTTGAGACTCTAGAAAGAGTACAGAGAAGAGCAACAAAGATGATTAGGGGACTGGAGGCTAAAACATACAAGGAACGGTGGCTGGAATTGGGTATGTCCTGTTTAATGAAGAGAAGGACGAGGGGGGACATGATAGCAGTGTTCCAATATCTCAGGGGCTGCCACAAAAAAGAGGGAGTGAAGCTATTCTCCAAAGTGCCTGAAGGCAGGACAAGGAGCAACGGGGGGAAACTAACCAAAGAGAGAAGCAACCTAGAACTAAGGAGAAACTTCCCGTCAGTTAGAACAATTAACCAGTGGAACAACCTGCCTCCAGAAGCGGTGAATGCGCCAACACTGGAAGTTTTTAAGAAGAAACTGGACAGCCATTTGTCCGAAATGGTATAGGGTTTCCTGCCTGAGCAGGGGGTTGGACTAGATGACCTCCAAGGTCACCTCCAACTTTATCATTATTATTATTATTATTAATTGTGGCATTACTACAAAAATGCATCCCAGCAGGATGAACAATGCTATGCTTTTGGCCTGAGATACTAAACATCAACATTATTCTCAGAGATGAGGTTACTCGGCATTCTTGAAGACCCTCCATTCAGTGTGGAGAAGAATCACAGGAGAGTAGTAGATACATCAGGCAATGTCCACCTCCAGGCACTCTTAGAACTGGAGGTCAGGGGAACCACTTCATTATCAGTAGAAAGGTCTTGGAGTACAGCTGGAGAAACCTAGCAAGAAAAAATACATTGCAATTATTCATCCTTCGCTGCAGGCTGCCTCCAGGGTGTAGTAAAAAATTTAAGAAATTGGCCATGATGGTGTGATCAGAGTCCTGCTCATCATTCCGTGGGGACATTCCTGCTTTGATAGTTAGCTCCAAATCTGAGGAATACACACCCAAAACAGACTTTTCTATATCTAACAGTATAGGACCAATTCTCCTGTCTGCTAATTAATCTGGCCACTAGTGACCAGATTTTGAGAATTGATGCATCACCTCTGATCTCCAGGTTGGAGAGAGCCGGTGTCAAATTTCTGCATAAATCTAAGTGCAGAGAAGAGCAACAAAGATGATTAGGGGACTGGAGGCTAAAACATATAAAAAACA